TATTTGCTATGGCAGTGATCTGGAACCAAACATACATCTTCAAGGTATGCCTGTATAGAATTCCTGGTTGGTGTTTTTTTTCTCTTAACATTAAAATCTTTACTTTCCACTTGCTTGCATGGTTTCTGAGAAGTTGGATGTAATTCTTTGTTCCTTTTTAAGTGAGATGTTTTCTTCCTCTGGCTTCTTTCAGGATTTTATTTTTTTGATTTTCTGTAGTTGGAAAATGATATAATACCTAGGTGTGTTTTTTTCCATTTATTTTATTTGGTGTTCTCTAAGCTTCCTGGACTTGTGATTTGGTATTTGACATCAATTTGGAAGAATTCAGTCATTATTGTTTCAAATATTTCTTCTGTTCCTTTTTGTCTTTTTCCGGTATTCCCATTATAACTGTTACACTTTTATAGTTGTCCTACAATCCTTGGATATTCTGGGGTTTTTTTTCAGTCTTTGCTTTCTTTGCTTGTTTCCAAGGATTCTATTTTTTTAAATTGAGATATAATTGACATATAACATTGTGTAAGTTTAAGGTATAGAACACGTTTTATTTGATATATTTACATATTGCAATGTTATCATCACAGTGGCATTTTCATTTCTTTGAGGATTCTGTTGATATATCCTCTAGCTCAGAAATTTTTTCCTCAGCTAAGTCTAGTCTATTATTATGCCCATCAAAGGCATTCTTCATTTGTTATATTATTTATTTATTTATTTTTCTGTTACAGTATTTTTAAATCTCTAGCATTTCTTTTCAATTTTTTTAGGATTTTCATCTCTTTGCTCACACTGTCCATCTGTTTGTGCATGCTGTCTACTTTGTTCAATAGTCTTTGGTATATTAATCATAGCTGTTTCAAATTCCCTATCTGATAATTCCAGTATCTGTCATGCCTAGTTTTAGTGTTGGCTCTGTCTCTTTAAACTGTGTTTTCTGCCTTTTGGTAGATCTTGGTATAATTTTATACTGATACCTAGACATGATGTTCTAGGTAAAAGGAACTGCTGCAAATAGACCTTAGTAATGTGGAGATGAGGTATGCAGGGAACAATAGTATTCTATAGTCCTATGATTAAGGCTCAGTCTTTTAGTGAGCATCAGCCTTTGATTATGAACTTCACAAGGATTTGTTTTTCCCTTCCCCCTTAGGTGGGACAGGTGGTCAGTTGGGCTCTGATAATACTCAGGAAGGTATTGATACTCAGCAACTTCCAAGCTCCTTATATAATAGAACTGAAGATTCTAAGTTCCCTCAGTAATTTATCTGAGTAAATGAATAAATGACAAAGAAAAGGCTGAGAGCTGAACTCTGCCTAATATGAGAGGTTCCAACAACTCCTAAGTGTAAGTCATTTAATATAGTACTTTGGCTAAAGTTACACTTATATTAGGGCATATGTTTTAAATGGTTCAAAATTATTTGGTACAGCAAAATTTCTTTAAGGCTGAACTTGATTTTAGAATCTGAAATTATGAAAAGAGAAGTGTGTTGAAGATTTATATTCCTTCGTTGAGCTATGAGTAAGGATGAATAACACCATAATCCTTTTTTTTCATCCTGAAATAATTTATTTCCGTATACTTTTGAAGTTCCAGGTCAATTTGTCTAGAACCAATTCAACCAATAATCAATCCTGCATATACCATATTGCCTAAAATTCAATCGTTTTTTTTCTGCTTTTAATTATCTTGTCTAATTAGTATGGGGGAGGACTTAAGAATTTTTTTAAAAACCAGGTTATATAAGAAAGCTCCCCATTTACTTTTAATACATCTTATATATTTGAAATATTTAATAATCTTGGATTTTATCTATTTTTGAACACTTCTAAGACTTTTAAATCTAAAGACCCTTTCCTTAGAATTCCATTTTCCTAACAGTATTTATCATCAATATTCAAGACACGAACATTGTTAGAAGCAAGATCGTCTTGATAATATCACTGAAAACAAAAACAGTATTATTTTGTGACTTATAAACTGATAAATTACTATGAATTAGACATCCTAAATAATAATCAATCCTTTAAAATTGACAATCATCATTGTATCAGGCTATTGTTAGCTATATAGGCATTTTAAACATGGTTTTTATTTTAGTAAATGAAACTCAAGAAATCTATTGATTTAGAATATCACTCTAAAAGTCATCTAACATGAGATCTCACAATTAACATCTAATGTGACAGTGTTGTCACTAATGTAAAGGAATTTAATATCTTCTATTATATGGACTCTAAAGGTAAAATAGCAATGTCCATTATAAGACAAGCTATAGTATTTCCAATTTCCTTCCCCATTTTGCTTTTCATCCTTCAAAACTCAACACAAATGCACCTCCATAAAAACTTCCTGATCTCATCAGTAGTTAGGCACTTCTCCTCTAGACTATCATATACATAAACCACTATTTTAACATTTTTTTGATGATTTTTTTTTTGATGATGACATTATGATGATTTTTTAACTTGTTTTTCTTTTCCACCACATCATGTACTCATAAGAACAAGAGAAAAATTTTGTATGGCTTTTTTTTATGGTTTGAGCATTTAGGCCAGTCACTGACATACAGCAGGTGGTTAAAAACAAATGTTTGTGTAATGAATGAATAGATTTAGGATCACAGAATAAAAACTTTCAACTTAGGACTTTGGATAATATTGCTCACCCTGTGATAAATAATATTACTTAGAACTTAAGAAAAAGTTATAAAGTTGTGCTTAATTAGATTCCATGCAAGGTTTTAAACATTTCATCTTGTTTTCATCTTTTTAACCTAAGCTGCAAAGAATGTACGAATAAGTATTTACACAATCTTATGATGAATCAGCACAATCTATGACTGTGAGTTTTAATTTCATTTCCGTTTTTTATTATTCATCTTCCTGTTTTAAACTTGGCTGTTACATGTAGATGGTTAAAACATTAAAAAAAACACTTTGAAAAAGGTATACCTTTCCCTGTGCTCATGCAGAAGCTTTGAGAAATTAAAATCCTATTTGGAGCAATAATATACTTAATAAAAATTTTATTTTAAGAAATTGTAAAAGCTGTGGCTTTATTAAATATTTATACAAATGGCAATAATTAAATGTGCTAAGGAGATGTCACTTTTCCAACAATATCAACCAATCAAAAAGCATCTTTCAGAAAGTACTTCTAAAATCTCAACCAGTTAAGAAAAGGTACTTTCAAGTCTTTATATTTTGTTGTAAGAATAGATCACTTGCAACCATCTCCTCTAGTAGAGACAAACCACTGTTATCACTTTCTGTTCAGTTTCTTTTGCTTAGCCACAGTTTTTAGGGGAAAATACAAAGTTCCAAGTCTATTTTTACTACAGACTTTCCTATTCCTATTGGTGAGGTATGAAGGGTACTCAACGAAATAAAAACCTCACTTACTTTGTGTTTTGTCTGGGGACAAAACAGGAAGGTTTTGTAAATAAGAATATCATGCTTTCTCAAAGACTAGACAGAATACAGGAATCACGGTGTTTCCTGTCTTCCTATGCTGTCAGTACAACCTAGTACGGAGTGTTACAATAAGTTTATGTTCAGGCAAGTATGTAACTCTCTGAATTTACTCTTAGAACAAACAAATGATAATTTGGGTGAACTGGTCTTTATTTCTGCCATTAGTATAAATCAGGGGTCAATAAACTTTTTCCATAAAGGGCCAAATAGTAAATATTTTAGGTCTCTGTCTTGTGTGTGTGTGTAAAGTTTATATATATATATGTGTGTGTGTGTGTATAAATGTATGCATAAATATATAAAATTTTACTATATATGTATTATACATATTTCATATATATTATTTTATATAAAATGTAGAAGCTTTTCTTAGCTCATAGGCTATAAAAAAGTATGATTGCAGGTCAGATTTTACTTAGAGGCTGTAGTTTGCTGACCCTTGGTATAGATAACTTTAAGACTATTCAATGGCAATCATGCTTTGAGAACAGTTAGAGGGAGTCAGCAGGAAGGGAGAGAGTACCGAACAGTGTGGGGATAGCACTAGTATTCAAGCTCCATGAATAGCAATTTTATATACTCCAAGATGTACTAATATTACTATAAGAAGAATCAGAGGGTGCGATTCTCTATAGTAATCTCACAGTAATTTCCTTTGAACTGCAAAGCACTTTTTTTTAAAGTTAGTTTTTATTATAAAGCACTTATAAAAGTAATTTTTAAATCTAGCACAGAATGTAAAAGTGCTGGATCATTTCAACTCCAACTTCTCTTCCAAATAAGAGTTTATGGTTAAAAATTTTTTTAAAGTTTTTAAAAGGGGCACTTGAGGAACTCTGGTGGTTAAAAGCACACATGATAAGCCGCATGCTTCAAGGATCAATTTCAGTACCCAGACACTATAAATCCTGAAGTATCTAAGGAAATTCAGATGTACTTAGGTGAAAGATGAATTTAAAAGAGGCTGCAACTCTTTAAAAAGAAAAATGAGGCTTGCCTTCTTTTGACTCATCTCCAAATTTAGAAGAGAACTGTAACTTAAAACTGAGTCCAAGCAGTCAATGTAGGCTCACTTAAAGCCACAGATCTTGGTATCTCATGCCCCACACCAAGGCACACACTCAGGAGAATTTAAACTAGTTCAACAAATGTGGGAAAGGACACTGAACTTACTAGGAAAAACATCTCAAATGCACTTTCTATATCAAGAAAAAATAAACCTTAATTGGTAGGGTGATATCCCTTTTCTCTCGACAGTGTGAATTTCAGAGAGGCCAGTAAAAACTAAAATGTATGTGGTATTGCCTATTTGTACATGAATTTAAACAATAATATAACAAAAGACATAATTTCAGATAGAATTAAAAACCAAAGCTATTAAAAAAGGTCATGATCATAGGGACAATGCCCCACAAGCTGAGATAATGAACAAAGTAATATTCTCAAGCCACTAAACCAAATGTATATGCTCCTATAATCAGAACCCCCAGAGAATCTACAAGAATTAGAGATAAACAAACCTAATTCATTCATTTTAGTATTTCCATTTGTTTCGTATGCCAAATCTGCAAGAGAGCAAGAAAGTGTGATTAGAGCTTAAAAAGAAATGTATTACGTGGTTCTTTACCACAGGTTCAGCATCAAAACCGTAACAGACCTGTATCTTAATAATGCTTAAAGATAGTTATCTATCAAGAAAAAAACCATAAAAAAAAACTGGCCTAGTTTTTCTTAAAGGGAATATTGAGAAGTAGAAACCTAATGTCAAGATAAATAAGCTTCCTTTTTAGTTTAAAGGAGAAAGCATCCTTATGGGCCAATAAACTCTGAAAATGAAGAGTACTGCTTGGAATAACTTTACTAGTTTTCTTTCATAGTCATGGAATTAATTTAAGGGCATCACTTTTTTAAGGTTTTAGTCAAAGAGAAATGTAATTGGGGCAGGGAAAATTTATAGTGCTGAGCCACAAAACTTCTTTCTTGAAATTTTTTATTAGCATTATGCTGGGAGGAATAAAAAGTCCCAGACCCTAGTTTCAAATTATCATGCTAACAAAAAGAATCATAGCAACATATAAGAAACAACCTCTTAAAAAGAACGGGGAAGCCTTTTATATACTTACAAGAAAACATGTCTCAAAGTGTTAAGTAAAAATAACAATAAGATGCAGAAAAGAGTTTTATTGGGCTAAAACTTGCATTAAAAAAGGGACAAAGAAGATCATTTACATATGAATTTCCTAATAGCTCCATAAAATATCTTTGGAAAAATACCTCAGAAACTGTTGACACTGGTTGCCTCTGATAGAGACTGGGTGGGTAAAGGACAGAGGGGGCAGACAGACTTTGCTCATTGTGCATTTATAGTAACTTTTTAATTTTGAACCATATGAATACATGTACCACCCTACGTAAAAATAAAATTGTACTTACAAAAAAGTTGTATCAACAAAACAATCTCTTACCAGATCTGAAGCTTCTTAAAGGGGGTCTACACAGGCTGATGACAGGATCTTCACTCACCACTAATAAAAGAAGGGAAAACATTAAAAATATATATAAAATGTCAAACATACTAGATTAATTATACAATCATGAATTTAAACAATAAGGTTTTTCAACAAAGGTTTTTCTAAGCTTTTCATTCTTTTAAGTATGGCACCACAATAGTGAACCAGACACGTATCCTGCCATAAAAAATTTATGGACTTGATGGAAAAATTTGTAATTTTTCTCAGATGACAAAAATCGCATAAAAGCAAAGGAATACAAAATAAAACTCTCCTAATGTCTCAAGAACCAACATCTGTACCGTAGCACCAACTCAATTACCTATTCCACTTGTGGATTACCCTCATTGTGGATTATCTATGGCATATTTAACTTTAGGAGTAACTTCCTAGGAGTTCATACATTTCCCCAATCTATTTAACCTTATGCATTCAAGAAATGCAAACTCTTAATTTTAAATAAAACGCTACTGTTAGGCAGGGTTTGTTTCAGACTGTCTATGACCTAATGGCATAGGGCTAATGGGGAAGCCAATCCCATTAAATAAAATGTTAATGTTAGCCTAGAAAACAGATGTGTTTTCTCAAATAGCCTCACACAACATAATCTAAAACCCAGTATGTATCTAAATTTGGATTATATTATGGTTTGTTTCATTTGCCTCTATAAAAAAGCATTATGTTTGGCTCTGCATAAGCACTGCAAAGAGCATATCCTGAACTGTCTATGACTGGCCCCCTCCATTACTTTGACTGCCTGTGTTTGTTGTTACAAAACTGACAAAACCCAAGTTCCCTTTTCCTGTATCTGAGCATGTTTTTATGCATCTTAAAGACTGATGAAGAAAAGCGATTAAATTGATTTTATGTAGCTCAAAAAGGCAGAATTGAGAACAGCAAGAGAAAGTTACAACAAATATCTTTTAGTTCACTATTAATAAAAATGACTATAGTGTTACCTTCAAAGCAGAACAGATAATTAGGGAATGATCTCCATATGGCTGGATGTTAACACAGGGATACCTGTACTGGTGGAAACTTTTGAGCAGATCACTTCCCTAAATCTTCCAACTCTAATATTCTAATGCTAACGACCTCAGTGGTTAGCATTTCACATATTAGGTATTCAGAACTTACATAAATAGTTTTAAAAGTAAATCTTGTCCCATTATTATAGCTATGTTCCTCTTTTTCTTCTCTGTATTCCCACCCTGTTCAGGTTTAATAAAACCTAAAACCCAGCTTCATCTACAGACATCAATTACTATTTCAATTCCCATCTTTTCATTTACGAAACATTTTATTCTCTTGCTACATACAGAGCCTCACATAAGATACTTGAAGGAGACAGAGAAGCAGGCACAGGTATACATAAAGAATCAAACAGCAAGTACCCTTCTTTTCTAATAACCTCTTTCTCTTACCTGCTTTTGCTCACTACTGTACCCCAGGAGGGGGACATGTATAAAGTAGGTGCTCAATAAATATCTGGAGAATGAATGAAAGCTTTAACTACAGCAGCCAAAAAATCAAATGTTCATAACAAAAGAGTCGGCATTTGAAAATGTTTATCTATGATTATTTAAACAACAACTGTTAGAACAAAAATATCCACTTGCTTTTAGGAAAAGTAAATGAAATTTCCCTAATCTATCTTTAGATTAAAAAATTAGTTTCATGATTTCCAGAAAGGAATGAATCTGGCCAAAGAATAGTTACATATACATATGTGGACTGAACTGATCCACATGATCCTTATGGCTATTTTATTTTAATGTAAAGAGGAATTTCATTCTGGAACTTCAAACAGTAAGAAGAGTTCAAACTGTATCTCTGTTCTAATATAAGCAATATTTTTCATGATTTCCAAAAACGGGAAGACAAATGTTGTCTTTAACAGGTTGCTTTAGAAAGTGGTCCCTTGGTCTTTATTCTTAGGAGCATCTTTGGATAAATCTCTCTCAGACTTTACCAGTGGCCCTAGACACAATTACAGCAGGGTTTTGAATACCAATATTAAACTCAAAGTCCACGATTCTATAAAGAGGAGGAAGGGCCTATCCGTAAACTTGTACTTAAAGCAGTCCTCCATCAAAAAGTGACTCATATTTAAATAATTCCTGCAAGACAGACTTTATAAGCATGTATTTAATAATTTGCTAATGTTTTCCTCCTTTTACTAAAAGGCATGAGATGGGAACATGACAAGTAGTACGATTTTTAAAAGAACTTTTTATAGTAAAAGAAATGAGAATCCCAAATCTCCCAAGATGCACATACCCTTATTTCAAGTTCTATGTCATGCACAGTGTGCTCTCCATAAATCCCAGGTAATCTACGCATGGGTTCCATCAATCTATCATCTATACCGGGAAATTGCTGTCTTTTCCATTTCCAAGGACAGCATGAGCTTCCTGAGAAAAAAGGCTTAAGCATAATTTTATGAACTTCACATCTCTTGTGAAGTGTTATGAGGAAAAACAAAATCCTTGAATCTGTATGTTTTGCTGTGCATAAAGTGATTTTGCATGTCCTATAACATTTCCACAGTGGCCTTGTGAGTTAGGCAGGGAAAATCAGATAAATGCCTAGGGAAATAGACAAAGGTCTGAGGCTCAAGGTGGGTAAGTAACTTGGAAGCAAGGTCCAGTGCTCTTTCCACGTTATGCAGCCATGTATTCATGAGCAGTCCTTAAATATACACCTAACATGAACTCTGAAAGACTATTCAAGACATCTGACATATAATATTCTTATAATGGACTACAAGCTGGTGCTCAACAGTCTTCATCAATTAACTTAATTCAATAATTTTTATAAATTTGTTATATTTTAGAAATGAGGAATTTTTGCTTTTCTGTGCATAAGGGACATGCAATTAAATCTACTGTAAATAAAATATCAAGAACATGATTTTTCCAAATGGCCTAGAAAATCTGATTATAACACCTATTATTCAAAGCATTTTTATAAGTAACAATCTTAATGCAATAAAGACTGTTCAAGGAATTAAGCATAAAAGGTGTGTTTATTTGGAACTGAACTTAAACCAGATACACTTTATTTTAAATTGAGAATAAAGTAGTTCAAATTATAAAGCATAATCTTGTTAGAAACAATGGATAAGAAAGTCAGTCAGGGTACTTTATATTTGATTTTTAAAAAGCCATAGATAATCAGTTTCAATAGCTGCAATTGTTGTTGGGATTTTCCTAATATCAAAAAAAAGCCCCAAAACTTAAAGTAAATGGAACTAAAAACCAAAGAATACTAAGCATTATTACCTGAACTTAATCCTTTCCTCTGTTTTTCAAACGTTTAAACAGTTTTTGAAATTTAAGTAGACTATCAAATGCAGTTCACTTCCACATGACACTGATACTGGGATGCAATTAGTTTTAAACTTCAATCTATGAAATTGGGTACATCATACAATCTAAGGCATATTACAGTTTAACTAGCAGCACTTGTTCAGGTGGCACATAGAATAACACCTTAAAACTGATGATATCTTATACATGATGAGATATTGTATCAAACTGACTAGATTGACTATACTGTGCAGACCACTTCATCCATTATAAATGGAAGGCAGTACTATATATTTGTTCATTCAACACTTAGCAAACTTTACCAAGTAGCTAACTACTACATGGGAGAGTAACAGTGAGGTACGTGGGGAAAATGAAATGGCTTTGGAGGAGACAAATCTGGGTCTGAATTTTGCCTCAGTCACATACTGTGTAAACTTAAGGAATAATCTTAGCTATTCTGAACTCGTTTTTCATCTATAAAATGGGTTTATCTATCCTGCATAGTTATGTAAATGAATTAACTATACAGAGTGGCTGATAATTAGTAGGTACTCAAAGATCTCCCTGTCCGATTTGCTTTACACATGCCTGTACTGTTTAATTCAATAAACAACCTATAAAGAAGATTCACTGAAACTCTGAATGAGGTATGATTTGGACCCTTGATGACCCAGACTATACTCTCTATACATTTAAAAAGTTGGCAGATAAGGGAAAAAAACAAAATCACTCTTCTTACCTGGAGTTTGTGTTCTCTGGATAGTTTTCTTTGAGACCTTTTGGCTTGAAACAGTTTGCGAAGATGGTTCATCCTCTAAAGAATAGACATGACAATCATCAAAATTCAAAATAATATGTTCTTGGTAGAGATTATGTGTATTAACAGTAAATACAGACAAAAATCCAAATAATTCATTTCTTTAGAAATGTGTAATTAGGTTTACCCAAACTTAGGAATTTAACTTGTAGAACTACTCTTAAGACAAAAATAAACTATCACACTGATGCTTTACAACAAAAGTATTTAATTTTTAAATGTAAAAGATGGGCTGGAGTTTCATAAATGAAGGGAAGAAAGAAGAGTGAAAAATGTTAAGATCTTTATGGATTTACTAAAACAGAGGTAAATCCTTTATGTGTTAAAATTAGTTTATATAACTGCACTAGGCTCTGTGAGAGTCAAAACAATGTAATTATTGCCTACTATGCACAAAGCATTCTTCCAGGTATTGATGGAGACACAAAATTAAGTACTGAAGATCCTTAAAAAATATAAGATCTTTGTCTTGAGCAAGTTTATAACTTTAAAAGGGAGAAACCCAATATACATATATGGGCTAAACTGTCTTTTGAGTCGCCACACCCCAGTTACTTAACCTACTTCAACATAAAAGTTTCCAAAATCACATCTTCAAATGCGGCAGCACTTCACGTGTCAGCAGGAAAGGAGCAGCCTATTACTCTGTTCTTAGCTTAAAACCCACTTCCTCTTCATATCCATCAATGGTCTACCACTATGCCATCGCATCCCATTGCGACTCAAACCCCGATTCTTACCTCATATGCGACTACTTCATGAAACTTCACCTGTGACTCGGTGGTAGGATGAGGAGGGGAGGCAGGGTGGGAGAGGATGGATTAAGGGTCTTGATTCATCTGTCTTACCTAAAACTATACTTTGTCAGCATCCTTTTGTCTCATTTAGACGAGAACTAATTCTTGCTTTGTCAGGCTCCTTAAGGTTACAATGGGAGCCCCCAACGTAACGGATGTTTGGCGGAGAGGACCACACTCAAGAGACATCTGCTCAAGTTATCACACACTGGGGAGCTTCAAGTACAGGACAGCTGACTTATCACATTTCCGTGTCACTATTTGGGCGGGGTCTCGAATTCATTCACTAACAAAGCTATCCCTGGAAACGTGCAAAGTGCCCCGGGCCCCCAATCTGGGTAGTTACGGAAAAAGACTGGAACGTTTGTTAGGTCAGAACCATGATGCTCAGCTGGGGATTCCTGACTTCTGAAAGTTAAAGGAGGAAATGGAAATGACTTTGGTAGAAACATCCGCAAGACAGAAAGCCGAAATGAAACCGAGCCTTGTGATTCGGTGAACCGCCCACCGCCTAACTCGCAGACCCCTCGGGAAGGCCTGCGGAAAGAGTCAACTTTGCACCCTTAAATTGATGGGCTGAGTCCCCGGCGCCGCCTAGATCGCTCCGCACGCTTGCCTTTCCAGTCCTGCCAGGGCCACTTTCCCGCCTGCGGTCGGGGGCGGACCCTACAAGCGGACGCCCGCCCACCCCACGGAGGAGGCACCGGAGCCCGGGCGGACTGAGCCCCGTGGAGGAGCACGCCTGCCCCACACGCACTCCAGGCTTGTGACTGAGACTGCTAACCTCCGTCGGCCTCACCTTCAGAGGAAGGAGAGTCCCGTGAACTTCTGGTCGAAAATGGAGGCGGCTGTGAGTGCTGATGCTGTAGGCGAGTAGCCCGTCGCGTCTTCATCTCCTCGGCTTCCTGGGGTCGCGGCTGCCGCCGCTGCCGAGACCGAAGGTAATAAGTGCTTTCTCTCACTTCCTCTTTCACAGAATCAGGCCGGAACTCTTCTAGCGGGACTTGTCTTCCTACCGGGGACTTTTCTTTGGTCACCCGGGGTCCGAAGTCGCCGTACACTTCTGGCGGTTCTTCCGAGAACCTCACTTCCCGCCGGCCCTGGCGCGACGGCGAAGGCGTTCCGTACGCAGGCGCGTCACTGCCGCCGCCATTTTGAGCGGCGAGCCTGTGCCTCCCTTCCCGCAGGGGGGCCCTGGGCGTGACGTACAGCCCCCATCCTTCCCTCGCCGGCTCCGCCCGTCGCCTCTCGCCCGCCATAGTTGACGTATCTTGAGTCGGTCGCGAAGGTGATTTTGGAGCCCGAAGCTTTTCCTGTCGTTTGTTTCGATGGCTTTTTGGGATGTCGGGCTGTGGTCGCTGCGGTCAGGGAGGCAGTTGAGAGTCGCCGGGTCCGCCGCCTGCGTCGTCGCTGCTGTGCTGCCAACCCGCCTCTGGGCCCATGGTGTGTCGTTAGGGCTGTGGAAGAGGCAGTGCCTGTGCCAGGTCAGCTGCTGTGGGTCACTCCCGCCTCCTGGCTGAAGGCACCAAAGAGGAGGAGAAGAGGGAGGAGGACGTCGCTGTCCTCGGCCTTGGGGGAAGGAGGGAGGGGACGACGGAGAACGGTCAAGTGGCAGGGCAAACTGCCTGTCCTGAACTCAGCTGCTCGTGGCAACTGTTGCCCGCACGCAGGGGCCGCCCGTGTTGGCCTCCAGAGTACGGAATCTGGGAAAGGCCGAGAGCGCTGCGGTCGGGGACGTTCAGGCCTCTCCCCCAGGCTGTTGCGCAGTTGCCTGGAATCTTTTTGATGGACTGCTACCTTAGCTATGCTCTTCTAGTTGTTCCTAGTAGGAGTGATGTTATGCAGGATTCTTTAGCAGGTGAAAATCTTGCAGAAAATTTTAATTCCAACCTCCTTATGAAGGTATCTTTTTTTTAAGTCACCTGTTGAAAGTACACAAAATCGTTATCTATAGGCATAGTGGCGTGGCTTTCTGTTTGCAAAATGTAGGCATAGCAAACACAGTCTTAATCTTGGCCTTCCATAAAAGCTTTATCCAGCAGCAGTGTTTGGAAGCCTTTTTAGTGCTGCGTTATGGACAGAAATGTACAAAAATTTTCATTAAAAACAGCACTTTAATTTTAACTTGTGATCCATCATTTTTACTTTGTTTATGGACAGGACTTGATAGTCTGCATTTGATTTGGGGTTTCCAGCGTTCCGTTATTTCTAGTACTGAATTATTACATACTCAGTTCAGTTATTATTATTACTGAATAAGAAAGCTTGATAAGAGCTGTTTGTTTCACCTCCTCATACCTTATTTAATTGATGTGGGTAATCTGCAGTTATATAACCAAATTCACACACAGTGAGGTTAAGGTTAAGTTAAAGTTTGAATAATTATTGAGAGGTATGTTACCATTAAACATACACACTTGTTTTCTTAGATGATTTCTTAGAATGGATTTCAGTGAAGGAATTTTAAAAATTGTAATTTGGAAACCAATTACAATAGATGATTCTGAAAATTTTGGTTATTGTTCTTTTAAGTATTTTAGATCACCTTGGAATGTGTTTGTGAGACTCATTTGCCCAAACAGGGCACAAATTTCAATTTAATAACATCTTAAGGTATACTCTGTTTTTACTTCAAATCCGTGAATTTGGGTATAGACACGAAGAATTACATGCCTTAGAGGGTCACCTAGGTTTTGCCCTATTAGGAAGTTAATTTAGCTTTGTTTATTATATACTGACAAATAAAAAACTCTAGAGACTGAGGGATCTCTGAAATAAAAGGGTTTGTTGAGCCTTTACTAACGCAGCAAGATAAGGACTGAGTCCTGGGACAGGAAGTTTATATATTTCATCAACAGCAAGAACAGTTAACCAAAACTTGTCTGCCAGATTCAAGAAATGGGACATTTATAAGGGATCGCAAGGAAAGATAGTTCTTTAAATTTACGTTGGCTGTAAACAAAGAAGGTGGACTAAGGTAAAGTGGGGAAAGTACAGGGGTAGATGGTTAGTCCTAGAGAAGGCTTATGGATCTGTTGTTGAAGATGGTCAGGCACTGGGCACGCACAAGAGCAATGCAGTGCTCCCAAGGACCTTCTAGATCGTTGTTGGAATGACTTCATCCAGGAACGTGGAGTTTCTGCTTAGCTATATACCACCCGCAGCTATTGACCCCTTGTCTCTCCATTCTCCATCTTTTTCTGTCTCTTAATTTTAGGGCATCAGAATTTTTCATCATCAATACAATGTAGCCAAAGAAACGAGAAAAACAGTAACAGTGAAAATGTTACTTAAAAAAAAAAAAGTTTTATCTTAGGGGAAAAAGTATTCTCCCTTGTTAGCCTGGGTTATATATTTGGGAAATATGTGGGACTTAACTGTTTTCCAGCAAAATACTAAGAAGTATTGATATTTGGTGATACTTGGTGACAATTTGTGTTTTAAATGATTTCTCTATAACTGTTGCATTACTCATTGTTAACATAACAGTAAAAGCTCTGTAACAGATATAATTATTAAAGGATATAAAACTTCATAGTATTAATATACAAAGTTCATATTATGAACATTAATGTATGTATTAAGAGCCTCTTTAAAACATTTACTGGGACAGGTGTCTACAAGTCTACATCTGAGAGATTGTGGGTTCCGTTCCAGATTACTGGGATAAAGTGAGTGTCACAATAAAGCAAGTCACATGACATTTTTGGTTTCCCAAAAGCCTGTAAAACAAAAATTACATTTACACTATTAAGTATGCAAAGCATTGCCTAAAACAATATGCATACCTTAATTAAAAAATACTTATTGCTAAAAAATGCTAACCATCATCTGAGCTTTCAGCAAGCTATAATCACTGATCATAGATAGAGTATTTAGATACTCTAAATAAAATAATGGAAAAGTTTGAAATATTGCAGGAGTTACCAAAATGTAACAGAGAAATGGAGTAAATACTGTTGGAGATATGACACTGATAGACTAGCTCAGCACAGGGTTACCACAAACCTTCAATTTGTGAAAAACTCAGTTCTGTGAAGCAGAATAAACTGAGGTATGCTTGTGTACAGAAATTTGGATAGACTTGGGGGATATACTAAAAAAGAAATGACAAGAGGTTGTACATATTACTGAAAATTCATAGAAGATCAGAGGTTTTACATATTGAATAATCAGTTCATGGATTATTTTATAATTAAAAATGACTAGAGGCTTAAGAATGTCTTTCTAAAGAAACGAATCATGAAAATCTCAAGTAAAATCAGAGGCAAGGTGACTTTAACACATGTATTTGCTTAGGTTCTTCCCTCTTTTGTTAGGTAATAATACATAATCCTAGCTCTGCCATATCTGTCTCCCACACCTAGCAACCTTACAGTACTAACTTTCATCACTAACTGTGAGGTAAAGCTAAATTCTTGTCAAACCAGACATTCTATTGTAGATGTTTTCTGAATTACAAGGGTGGCCCCAAAGAGGTGACATCACAGAGATGGTAAACTCATAGCCAATATTAGGGGAATTGCTGGGCCACCAATACCAAGAAAGTACATAAGCCGTGAATGTTAGTTTTGGGAATTTGAGCCAAAAAAAATGTGGAGGAATTCCGTGAATCAAAAAAGAAGACAGGTAAGAGAAGAAATGATTATAACAAAGATTCATTACTTCATTTATTTATTGAACATCTGTGTTGGTACAGAATGTTTAATAAATGAATTAGTGTATTCCCTGCCCTTAAGGAATTTGTCATCTATTAGGGAAGACATATACTAAAAATTATAATTCAGATTAAATGATGGGCATTAAAACAGCTATGTTAAATGAAACATTTTCAAATAAGAATTTTTGTACATGAGCTTTTTGTTTAGGGTAAACAGAAATCCAGTTAACCTTCTGAGAAAGCATCTCTCAATGCATTGTGCATTAATATTAACATTTCCAGTAGATAGGGAAATAACTTTGGGGTTGCATCTTAGTAGAAAGAGGTAATGTTATTTTTAACAAGAAGAAGATAAAAATATTAAGAGAAGATAGAGTACCTAGCTCCATTTATTCCTCATTCTCACAACTTACAGAAAAATTTTTACACAAATGAAAATAGCTAGCTAGAAATCAAGTATTGAAATTAAGAAAATTAAAACGCCAAGAAGTGAATGGAATATCTAATTCAACCTTTGTTGAATAATTGCAGTCAATTATTAAACAGCAGCCAAATCCTGTGACTTCTGCCAAGAGGATGATTGAGAAATGAAGTCACCAAAAATTACTATTAAATGAAGAATCATTAACCCAATAAATATTTGAGGTTCTATTATATACTAACGAGACTGTATTCTAGGTGCTGGAGATATTAGTGAAAGACTAGACCAGAATAGCACAGCATATGGAGAATATAGCCACTGATTCTGTAACGTCTTCCTATCTTGGCAGATAATTAACTGCACTAGTTGGGAGTGAGGATTTAATAATTTGGGTAACTTTTGAACCACTGTGTTACATACTTGGAACCAATATAAGATTGTATATCAGCGATATTTAAGTTAAACAAAAAATAGGACCACAGAAAAATTAATTAGCACAGGTTGTTGTGCTTAGCACAGTTGTTGACCCTTGGGTAGTGGTTACGATGCTGCTTTCTTGGAGCTTACATTCTATGGGAGTAAGATAAAAATCAAAAGTAAAATAGTGTGTTGTTCAGAAGTTTATGAAAAAAACGAGTTTTTAGCATTCTCATTTGACGCTAGCAAACCGAGGTTTAGATAAGCAACTCGTTAGAGGACCACACCTAGTAAAGGTACGGGCCGGTTCCAAGTCTCGTCTGACTGGGGTTTTCCGTTATCATTGCCTCTCACTGCGTTGGTCCCTAGGTTCTCCAGCCTATCAGTTTGGGGGTATTGTAAGGGGAGGGTCGTGAGACGTCTCGCAGAGAGGCCCGTCCTGCAGTTTGACAGCTAGGGGCAGACCGCGGTTGCGCACGCGCGACCTGCCCCACTCCGGCGCTGGCAGCAACTCCCGAGTGGAGACGCGGGAGGGACGGGAGCGGTTTGCAAGCTGGAGGAGGAGGGGCAGGGCAACTACTAGTCCCAGCATTCCGCAGTCGCCTCCTCCCCACGGAGGTCGCCGTCACGCGGACGCGGACAGGAACGACATTCCGTTTACCGCGTTTGAGGAGTGCAGACCGGCGTTGTGGAGCAGAAAGAGCACCAGGCCTCCCCTGACGTTGACAGTCGATGATTTAAAATCCTGCTAGGATTTGTAAGTAAACAAAATGTATATACAACTTTTCCATGTTTTAGTATTCAATCTGGTATCTTCTTTCGAAAGATCTTTCACAAATAATCACTCCCCACCCCCATCTCCCTGCCTCAGAAACCTTAAACGGAGCAGTTGGGAGGATATTTTGTGGGGTGGGGGGTGGGGGGAGGAAAAAAAATCTTACAAACAATATAAATGTTTGGTTTGGACTTT